CCCCCCCCCCCCCCCCCCCCCAATGGTGTAGACAAGCACATGTGGCATTTGGGGGTGCTAGATGCGGATGACAGACCCTGAAAAAAATTAGTACATTTTTTTATTAGACTAGTAATACAACTATTAAGAAAACTTAATGTGACTGGTGGATGGCAGATGGTGAAGGCGGATGTACAAGAAAGAGTGAGGATCCATAGCTGGTGGTTCAACATGCAAACCATTAAGTCCCCTGGTGAAGGTAGGTCATGACCCTGGTTCATGTTACATGAGATCTGCCAGACAATGATCCAGCTGCCAATGCACCCTTGACCCTCCTTGCATACATTGGGCAAGGCCTATGTGGAACACGATGACTGCCAGGGATAATGCGATGAGAGTTATTTTTCACTTAGTTCCGATTCCCCTGACCGAAGGAAGTGGCATCCCCAGCCACTCCCCGCACTGACGCGTCATCCTTGACCTGACCTTCAACCCAGATCCGGTAAGAGTGCTTTCACATGGGACGGAATTTCCGATTCCCCCGACCGAAGGGAGGAAGGGAAGCGGCATCCCCAGCCGCTCCCCCAAGGGCCCGTCATCCTCAACCTGACCTTGAACCCAGATCCGGTAACAGCACTTTCACATGATATGGAAGTAATTTGATTCCGTCAGAAACACTCTACTGGGGTCCGCAATCCGCGTCGCACTTCCTAGGGTCTTGCCTGGGCCCTTAGTATCAAGTGTACACTTTTGTACACTTTATCCACCTTTTTGTGGTGAGATTGATAACTATGTTCACATACCATTAGAAAGTGTACAAATTTGAGCTACGGTCCAAAATCTATGTCACATTTTTGAGTTTGATGCGTAAATATGTTATCTTACCATGAAAAAGTGTACAAGGGTGAGCTAGGGGCTCTGGGGCACATTACAAAACTCAATGCGCATTGGGACCCTACATTGCATTACTACACTTTGTAATAGCAATAGTAACTTTTCTAACAACATTACACATTATTATGGAATGTGTGCAGGGTGTACAAATACAAGTGTTAATAAATGTATGATATTAACAAAATGCACAAATGTACAAGCAAAGTGCAGAAAACTCCCTACACTCCACACATCAGGGAAAAGAGCAGGTCCCAAAGCTAATGTCAGAATTTTTCATTAGAAACATACAACAGTTCAGTGTGAAACTCGAGTACTATTGTGCTGTTTGAGGGAGATCGAGTGGCGCTCCAAAATTTGCATTGCATTTTTCAGGGTTACCTGGGCCATTACAATAAAGTGTACACTTTGTACACTTCATAAACTTTTTTGTATCATTGACAACACTTTGATGATAGAATATATTGCAAGATGTTGAGCCAGTCAATAGCACAAAACTGACTGATATGCATAGGTGATCTGAGTTCTAGTCAAATTCAGCTTACCATGCCATTTATTTCTGATCAGCTGCTCTTGATTGTTTAGTTGGTGCTAGTTTGCTCCAAGACTATGGGTTACCATGATTGTTTCAGTTTACAAGAGAGCATGCTTTTGATTGTGGTGTTGCATCGAAGCATTCCTGTCCATCTTATGGAAGAACACAGAACAGATATGGATAGCAATATGTAAAATATGGAGGAAAGAAGATGAATAATGGGAACATAGTTGGAGGCAGAAAAATTCCAAGAAATGATAAAATCAACCAGTGGCATGTGTAGACAATGAACATATATGGGACAAATGGAGTATACAGGAAACTCACAGGACAAACATTGATGCCCTTCCTTGGTCTACTGGAGAATTGCATTAACATAGTAAATGCAGGACTGGATTCTTTTGATGATAGTACCTAAAAAAATTGCAATGGATCTCTGTTATACAGAATATAATAATTTAGACTGAGTGTTGCTGTGAAGTTGTTGATTATTTCAAGCATGATCCATGACAAGAGTCTGTTCTCCTGGCATGACAAGCTACCAGGCATTCATCATGCACATCACTGTGAGAATAGACAGTCAACTCTGTGGGCTTGTTCCCTTAACCCTCAATGACATGTCCTTTACAACAACAGCATATTAACTGAATAACCTCCCATGCATATCTGGCACTTCTATAAGAAACACTTGGATGAGCAGCTTGAATTTGTTTGATCCCAATGCAAAGCAAGGGAACCCAAGAGCCACCTATTCTACTCACTGCATTCTGTATAATGATGAACTTCTAGTCTAGGTACAATTGATCCACTGGACACAGCTGGACAACACACAAGCTAGCATCTTGTCCAGTATAGCTCTACATATGTGTTCCACACTGGAACCAGAACTGCTTCCTCCCCCCCTGATATACTAGGATTTATATTCATACCGGTGCTGCTGATGAAGACTTACAGATGGAGAGGCAGAATCAGACTATTCTTTGGGGCTGAAACTGTTAGCACTGAGATCTGACTGATATCAGATGAAAAAAAAAGGGGGGGGGGCTTGCTTGTCACAGATTTGTGATCTGATCTTTGATTCTGATACACTGTGTCTGTCTTGACCAGAGGAACTCGTTGTCACTATTATTATTATTATTATTATTATTATTATTATTATTATTATTCCCTCACCATGAATTCATGATGCCCCTTCACATTTATATTCACATTGAATGGACACCTGATTACAGGATGAACTACAGGATGATTTCAAAGTGAGGGGACATTGGAGACAGGCAAGAGTGTGGTGCAGTGGGCAGATAAAGAACTGCAACATTGTAACCAGAGGCTGTGTTAGGTTGGCGTTGTGACGAAACAACTCACCAGAGAGAAGAGGTATCAGGCTGTACATGTAGACGCACTGATGTTTCCCAAGATAGACTGGGGGGTGTAAGATTGAACTAGGATAGTCATCGACGGTGCGATGCTGAGAAAAGCGAGAGCATGGTCATCAGCGAGTGGAGGATGTGATACTGGATCTTGAGTATACCGTGTCTCTGGGGAGTTGAGGATCCTAGGAAGAGAGCCGTACGAAGAAGATCGTCTTGTTTTCTGGAAACGCAGAGGTTGATGCGAGAACGTGACGATGGGGAGAGGAGAAGGAAAATGTACAACAACTCGAAATATGGTATCAGAGGTCTCGCTGTGGACGACATACCTCCCAGCGAGCCTTAAAAGTGGATGTTAATCAGAGGATACGCCAGATGGGAAAAGGAACGAAACTTGCGCACCAATTGCATTCGAGTTTGCTTGACAGGCCGGAGCGAAGACGATAGAGATTGCAGTTCGTGAGGGGGGGCATGAAGCGGGGGAGACAGAACTCCACGGCGCCAGTCGTTCCAGAGACGGCCCGATGGACGGTGAAATGGGGGAGGGTGCAAGGGCAAGGAGGAAATATGTACACTTGTGGAAGGGAGGAAGGAACGAGTCGTGCTGTTAGCTGGTTCCAAAGTGATGCGGACGAGCGGGGAACCACGTAGAGGGGAAATGATCCCCGAGTTATTCCAGAGCATGGAAGCTGATCAGAGAGGTTACCGAGGAGGATGGAAAAGGAATGAACGCATCCAGTAATGCTCAATATCATTCGAATCCAGAATGCGGCGTCGGAAATGTCGCTGTGGAAGACGGGGGACGTGCACTGTGGGCCGAGAAGAATCACGGAGGGCTCCTAGAAAAAAAATGATGATAGTATAATTCGCTTGAGGAAAAATGGATAGGAACGCACTAATTGACTGTAGTCGTACACACGAATCACAGATGTGGGGTGGAAAGTGCCGTGGAGGCGGACGTTGACAACAAGGATCAGGGTATGCGAAGTATCGTTAGGTGGAATGGACGTGATAGGTTCGGGGGAGGCCAAGGAGGAGGGAAGTCGCCGCAGCTGCAGCCTTAACAGTTGGCACAGGCTGAGGTTTGGTTGCCGCGTGCGGGCCTGCCAGGCCAACCAGAGTTAGAGATGAAGCGATTACGATCAGGCATGGAGCGTACTAGGGTGGCTGGGGTGTGTGGGCGACGAGTGGTTAGTTCACCTTGATGGATATCCCCAGTGTATAATGTGAGCAGCCAGTGGAGAGAGAAGGGAAAAAGGAGAATGGGCGTTCCGAAGGAGGGGAAGGTACGTACAGTAGTTGAAGAACATGGAAGAGTCGTCGACTGCTATTGGTTTGTCGTTAGTGGCTCCAAGATGAGGACATCAATCATGTACATAATGTAGTGTACCCGAGCCTGTCTAGGCAAGTACAATTGATCAGAGAAAGCAGCAGGGGGAAGGGGAAGGACGGGGCGCACCGGTAGACCTTGATCGAATTCGACTCGAGGATGTAGTTTCGGAGGTGTAGTTGATGACGTCGGGAACGCATTTCATGCTCGAACGATCATAAAACGAGCGGGCTGATGAGGAGCATACCAGAAAGAGAAGGGAATTCAAGCAGCTTACAAGTTGATCGTCAACATATTCAGATAATGCACGTGGCGTTGAACGTGCCAAGGTGGAGGACATCAACGGGACTGAGGACTGTCGGACAATCATGGATAAACAATACAAGTAACCCACAAAGCAGAAGAGGAAGTGGTCGAGGCCAACGACATACGTGGGAAATGTCCAGCGATGACAACTGGGGCCATGAGGTCGAAGGAATACGAGCCACCGCTGCCAACGCATGCTGAATGTTGTCATCTGGTTGACGGTGCCAGACTAATCAAGAATATGGAGGGGGACGTCGCGATGAGTTGTTGAACGCGTCATTTGCATGCGGTGAGGTGGTGAGGGAGGTCGCCCGTTGTGGCGAGGCGCGAGAGCACGTAGTTCACGCTGCGGGTCATTATTGGGCGAGGGGGTGATCATAAACGGTACAGAGGAGAGAGGGAACGTACACTTGGTGAAGGAAGGGAGAAGTCGGATTATGGGCTGATGTCAGAGTGATGTCGACGAGGGGTGAAGACGTTGCAGACGTCTGTAAATGGCGGAATGCCCTCAAACGATTCTAGAGAGAGTAAACTTAATGGAGAGGGTGCCAAGCAGGGGAATGGGAACTAGGGGAACTCACACATTGCCTCAGTTGTTTTTAAAGGGCGGACACCGTGTCGGAGCTGTCGCTGATGAAGACGAGGAGGCACTCCATGCCAGGAACCGTTACTGTAACATCTTGACACGTGAATACTATCAGACGGTATCGTAGAGAGGATGGACGATTGCAAGGAGCGCAGCAATTCACCGTCATCCCACACAAATCACCGAGGCGGGGGAATCGCTGTCATGGAGACGTATGTTGGAGACAAGGAAGACCAAATGCGAGTTCTGGTCAGTTAGAATGAACGGCACAGGCTGTTAATCACTCACCCAAAAGAAGGGGGAGTTAATGGTGTTGCCAATATAGACGAAACGTAGTCGAGGGAGGGGAGGAGGGGGAGGCAAGTCGGAGCAGCAGGACCTTCAAGAGTTGTCGCGTTCGACTCTGGAAGAGTAATCATACCTCGAGGGAAGCGATTACAAGAACGTACTGGGTGGTTGATAGTCCGGAGCAGCGTCGAGATTGACTAGGGTGTGTGGGGGACGAGAGGTTAGTCCATGCAGAACGAATTCCCCCAACCACAATGTGGGGAGCCGAGTGGGGTATAAGGAATTGATCAGAAAAGGGACGGCGAGGAAGAAGCAGGTACATACACTTGTTGAAAATAAGAAGGCAGAGTCAAGGATTTCTGTGCATTCGCTGCTCGAAGAATGTCGACGAGGGGAAGACGTTGCGCATACGTACATCAGTCGGGGTGACCTCGAACCATTCTAGAGAAGTCGGTGCTCAGTAGTGAAGGTGCTAGGGGCGGGATGGAAGGAACGCAGGGATTGGCTGGCCTTGATCGGAGTCGACTCGAGACTATTGTTTCGGAGGTGTCGGCGGCGAGGACGAGGGAGGTATGTCATGTCGGAAGATGTTGTCTAAAACAGGGGCATCAATTGAGGAGCATATGGAGTGTTATACGCTTATCGACAGAGCGTTGCCACAATTCAAATAATGAATGTAGTGGAGAACGTCGACGAGATACGGAAAGAAAAGGCGGCGGGGAAGTGGGAGCAACATGAGCCATGATTGCAACGTATGATGAGCATTGTCGTCGTGCCTAGACGCCTAGAGCCACTCGTCACCAGGCAGGGGGAGAGTAAGAGGTGCTATTGAACGCACCGAATCGATGGCAGGATGGACTGGGTATGCGGAGTGTGTGGGGCCTGTGGTCCCCGCTGAGGGAATCCCGAGCTGTGTCGTTGGATGAGAAATGATCAGAAGGGTCGAACCGAAGGAGAAAAATGTACTTATGCGTGTTAAAGAGAGGGAGGAGGGAATCAAGCACTTCTGTGGGATGATGTTAGAAAGAGGCCTATGAGGGGAGGGGACGTTTGATACGTAGAGGACCAAGTGTGCGGCAAAGGGAGGAGGGAGGTACGTACACTTGTCGAAGGAAGGCCGAAGTAGTGACCTCCTGTGGGTTGGTGTCACAGTCGTGCCGAAACAGTGACCGAGTTGCATATAATGT